TAATCTTTGAATGATTTTCTACATTCTTTATTATAGGCTTCACCTTTACAATAAACAGACTTAACAATTGGTTCCAGTGTAGAAACAAAACTAGACAAAGGGACACATTTGATTGAAAAATAGTTTGGATAATGGGGAAATACTGTGAGAACAGCCATTGATTTCTCTATAACCAGAAGTGAAAAGTCACTTTCCTGCACACGTCACGGTGGTGCTAGCAGAAACTGACCAGCCCTTCCCAATGTGTCTACAGAGGATCAATGGCCCATAGTGGGAGTAGCCCTTCCTGGTAGCTGCTGAGAAAAGCTGAATGGGGATGAGGATGAATGGGGAAGAGTGACCACATGTATTTTGGCGAGGTTGAGAGCAAAGTTTATATGTTTTTTATATTTTGTTTCCCTCATAGACCTAGAAGCAGGGAAACAAAAGGGGCAAAAGACATTATAATTATTTTTAATTTCTGTCTGTCACAAGTAAGCAGAGGCATCTGAAAGTGTGAAATATTCCAAGCTCATGTAGGGTGTAAATACTAAACAAAAACCAAAGGTGGTTTTGATTTTGTCCTTGGCAAACCAAAAGGTGAGTTTGCCAGAAGCAAACCCAAAACAGGGCTGCCCGTGTCTGTCTGTCTGTCTGTCTCTCTCTCTAATAAGTAGATGACATAGGTTCCTCAACTGCTTTTTAAGCATGATGGTTGACTATATTAAGGGAAAAACACTCTGATAATAAAATATTATAACAGAGCTGTGTAAACCACTATGACTATACATGGATCGATCAACATTTCTAAAACTCCATTTAAAAAGCTCAAAAAAATGGTTAAATCTAACTTCATATGGTAAAACCCACACACACAGTTTTTTGTTAAATACCTATTTACGTGGTTGACATTAATCAGCTCCAAAAGGAGCCATCATGGTCGTTGGGCGAATAATAATTATTTTTAAGTCTTTTTGAAATAGCCTTAATGGTTTTAAAAGAACCAGTAAGTTCTGTGAGGTCAATAATACAGGTTTTAACAATAATTTATAAACAAACAGTTTGTGATCTATTTTGTCAATACACCTCTACCCCCATATAACGCAGTCCTCGGCAGCAAAAAAATCTTACCGCATTATAGGTGAAACCATGTTATATCGAACTTGCTTTGATTCGCTGGAGTGCGCAGCCCCGCCCCCCCAGAGCACTGCTTTACTGCGTTATATTCGAATTCGTGTTATATCGGGTCGTATTATATCGGGGTAGAAGTGTATATATTTCCATGAAAGGCTTGTAATCATTAATATAAAAGCAGATTAAAATTAACCAACATGCACGAAAGGATTTTACCAATAGGATTAAGTAACACTAGAGCTGTGACACAAGGAAAAAATAAATGTCTCGTCTCTGTTTTTTACTACGTGCCTGTTTTGAACCTGCAGACATCTCAGTAATGAGGTGCATCCTTAATATTACTTAGCTGTGGGTTGTGTGTGTATTTACATAAATAGATTAGTTTGTAACATTAATGTTAATGAGAAACTTGTGCATTTACAAGTGCATAGTAATGTCCTTCCTTTGCCAGCAGCTGGCTGTGAGTCCCTTGTTCCACTACTTTTCCATTATGAATCACTGCTATGACATCAGCGTTCTGGATGGTCGTCAAGCGGTGAGCAATAATAATGCAGGTTCGACCCTTCCTGGCATCGTCCAAGGCTTTCTGGACAATCTGTGGACAGATGCAGTGAAAAACTTATTAGTTGGAGAATCTTCCCTTTCCTAAGTAACACCTTTGCCTTTATAGTTCACATTATTTATCACTTGGGTGTTCCTCACTGGGGTTTAAGAGTCAGTACTTCCCATGCATGAAGGAGGCCTCAAACACAGGGGCCTGATATTACAACCTTTATTTGTGTGAGTAATTCCACTGAAGTCATTGAGACTACTCTCCTGAACACAGCTAAGCAGAATGAGCTCCATAAGGATCTAGATTGGACCAACATAAAACTTAGATTAACATGCAACAAAACTAATTTGCAGAGGTGTAATGAATTGTCTGTGATATTAGTGGCTTACCAAATGTGTGTGTTATATTTGACATTGCATGCTGTCTGTATCCAACTACCTGCCAAATTTAGAGAAACTAACAACGTCTGTCCTTCCTGCCATATGCACCTGTCCAGGTGTTTGTCAGTCAGACATGCACAATACTTAGATCAGTTTGGAGAAAGCAGACCAGCCAAATACATAGACATGACTAACACTTGCATGTTCATTGATAGTACCAGCAATGCCACACACTTCTTGTTGTCCATAAAAATCCAAAATTCAGGATCCTGACATCTGGCTCACAACTGGATGGCGGTTTGCACGGTGGCATTTTTCACTTCTATTGCGTCCCCACCCAAATGAACAGTTTATTGGTCCCTATGGCGTCTCCCCCTCTCCTGGAGATGGGGGATGCGGTGAGGAAGCTCAGCCAGCTGAGCAGCAGGGGACAGCTTAATTACTCTCTCTTCACTGCACAACATCTCCGGAGAGGTGGCAGGTGTTGCTGAAGCCTTTTTTCCAAGCCAGCTCCTCCTGCCTGTCGCCTCTAACCCTCTGAACGCAGGTGGATCAAAGGACTGGGAAGCGGACAGAGGCAGGACAACATTAAACTTCTTCATTGTTTCATTCTATCCTGACAGCCAGCAGTTCTACTGGCAGAGTGGATCCCTCTGGGTCTCTGTAGTAACACCTGCTCACCCAGACAGAGCAGGAAATAGTGCAGAAAGAGACCCACTTTACTGCTAGTGCTGCTGGCTGAAGGGAAGAGGACGGAGCTGGTGACTTGCCTTACAAGGCCTCCTCTAGTAGATCACAGGCTACTGTTTGAAGACACCTGTCTCAAACTCAAAGCTGCTAATTATCAATGGGATTTTCCAAAGTGCTCAGCATTGGCCTAACTGTGAACCCATTAAAAGTCCCATTGACTTCATAACTGACTTTGAAGGAACTGAGGCAGGCCAAAACTGAGGAGTTCTGAAAATCCCACTTTGTCTCCAGCCCCAAGTGTTGCTGACTACCATCAGCTCCCAATTTAGACACCAGGAGTTGAAAGCACTCTACACCTTGCAAAAGCAGGCCATAGACAGAGAGTGAGCTAAGGATTGTTCTGTGGAACTTTCAAAATTGTACTGTAGATGGAGCGCCTGTGCTCTTGCAGTGAAGCATTCGAACCCTGTAATTTTGTGTGTATTACAAATGGTAGAATGCATATTACTAACCTTTTCACTTTCCGTGTCAAGAGCAGATGTGGCTTCATCCAGAAGCAGAACTGCTGGCTTACGAACTAGAGCACGAGCAATTGCAATTCTTTGTTTCTGACCTCCAGAAAGTTGTGCTCCTTTGTCACCCACTCGGGTGTTATACTTCTGTATAAGTAAATATTCATTGTAAAGGAAAGTTAGAAACAGAAAGTTATATTTTTAATAGCAGATAATGTACTATATTAAGCATTTCCACCGTGAAAGCAAAAAGAATAATGTAATGGTTTTTAATAAAAAATAAAATTGTATAAGATTTTAACTGTTTGAATCAAAATGCATATCTACAGCTACACGTATTGATAACTGCTCTGTAATGAAAATTCATTTCAGCATTAGAAAAAGTGCAACCACTGATGTGTCTAGTCAAAGACACCTGTACTTAAACATATAGATCTCAAGAGACTTTTATAATTTCAAGGCCCTAAAGACCCACACTCAGGAGGTGATCCTTTATTTCTTACACATCCAAAACTTCTAAGTACAGTTTGAAAAACTAGGGGGTAATGAAAAAGAAATATTGTTTTTTTCAATTCCATGCAACTCTACAGGAAGCCCGATTTCTTTGGGCTTTTCCAAGGTCTTTCTCCACTCTGAGAACTAAGTCCATGGCCAACATGAAGGTTAAGATGTACTTGAAACATTTTACCTTTCAGATAAGACTAAAATTAGAGAAAGGTTCAGCCAAAAAAGGAAAAGGAATTGGCAAAGTTTATGAGGAAATGAAAATAAAGGTTTAGAATCAAATGTCTCTTTTATAGTTGTTATATAACATCACTGTGGTAGAGGAAAACAAGAAAACTGGAGCGCAGATTTTGCATTTGAATTAGCTAATTATGACTGCATATGTGTTAATACATATTGCAAGTTACATTTTTAAACATCAGCTTTCTATTTTCCTCTTTGAGAATTGTATCCACAAGAAAATAACCTTTTTTAAAAAGCATATTGTTTTGCA